GCACACACTGCACGTGAGGCTGCAGAGCTAAATCCACAGCGCCTGAGCAAACACGGCGCGGATGGTCGCCGAGGAGGCTTCGGACACCTCGGAGGGAGAGGAGCCGGGGTAGGACAGCGCAAGCGGGGCAGCCGGCGAGGAGCCGTGGCCAGGACGGGTGGTCTAGGGCCACCAGCTAATGACTGGCTCACGGTGGAAACTTGCTCCCAGTTGGGTCCCCCTTCTTGCACCGGTGCAAATCGGTAGTGCAAACGGGTGGTTTCCAGGCAGAGATGAAGGCATGGTTGGGAGCTACCAGGGCTTTTCTGCAAGGCTTCTGCTCACCAGATCCATAGTCTACTGCCTTACGCTTTTCCCTTCCTCTTGGCCTGAAGTCTAGGGAAGACCAGAACGATCAGAATTTGCACTGTTTTGCCCATATGTGAGTATGTATCATAGCTAACGCAAAACACATGGGAGACAGATGAAAATAAGACTTGAATGGTGCCTAAAGGAGGACTGATTAGCCTTTATCAGATATGACACACTAACCACAGAGGCTCCTTGCTGGAATACTGGCTTACAATCCCCGCAGTGTCAGATTTCATCCTCCTGAGCAAAGAGACACTTTCCATAGGGTTTGCATGCATCTTCCGGATAAGCCCCGGAGACTGAAACCGTCTCCGTGCCATGCGGGCATTAAAAGTCCCACCCACGTGTTTAAAAAAAGCCCCAAACCCCCAAAATGCAAAAGCTGACATTTACTCTCAAACGCCTTCTTCCTCCGTTGCCGCATGGCATCCCGAGTGATTGGCGTTTCCTCCTTCTGGAGCCGGCCTCGCCGGAGCCGCGCCGCCGGGCATCCTCGGGGGCTCTCACCCGAAAGGCCCAGCTGAGAGCCAAAAGATTATTTCACGTACCCAAAAGTGCGTGCGCAAACACATAGGGACACTATCACAGGGCTTTCCGGGAGAAAAAAACCAGCAACAACCCTCCTCCCCGCCGCCAGCAGCCTCTGTGTCAAAAGCCCTTTTATAACCGCCGCGGTAGCTGAAGAATTGCCATTGTTTCAGTCTCGAGCGAGCGCTAGCCTGGAAATATTTCCAGCTCGGAGCAGGCTTTGACATTCTGCCCAGACCCGGGAGAGGGAACAACACGAGTTCGGAAGTGTTTCCCCAAGGC